TTGATAATTATTTCCAGGGTTAGAACTTATTTCTTCTTGTTCACTAGAATTACCGGGTCTACCATTTTGTTCTTCATCAATTTGTCTTCTTGTCGTAAAGGGGTTGTCAGAATTTCCTTCTTGAGCAGCGGAGGGATAAAGCGGTGGTTGAGGGAGGGAATGATCAGTGACAGACATACTTTCACAAAAAAAAAAAAAGAAAATGTTAAAGGCAACAAAAAAAAATACAAAAAAAAAAATCGGAATAATTTCACTGTAGGAACAGGAAATATGAGAAAAGAGGAAAAAAAAAATAAACTATATATATTTCTATAAGTCGGGTTATCCTGCAGTGTAATTTCTCGCATGCCAATTGCTATTGGTTATCAATTTTTTCTTTAACTTACTGCGTAATATCCTTATATGTGATAATATGAGGTGGGCAAGCTGATAACAAGTATTTCCAACCCTTTATTAAATCAAGCTAGTATCAGATTAATGTTCACCTTTTTTTTTTCTCTATGAAGATAAACATATTTGGAGGAGGGAACATGATACGTGGATAGGTTTATCGAAAAGGTGTCTCTTGACAAGATGGAGACGAATGAATTATACTGTATACCTTATCAGATGATTTAATTTTTAAAAACAGGTGTGTAAATAGAGAATGATTTTCATACAACGCATATTTGTATAATTTAGGTAGATTAATTAAAAAAAGGACAATAAATTTTTGTTTCAATTAAACAATCCGACGATCTGCCTTCAGCGAAGCACCTCCAAATGATCCAAGGAGCACATAGATTATTCCGATCACAAATACAAACCAACCAGGTACTACGATGAAAACGTGTAGGCTAGAAGGAATTTGATCTTTCGTAAGAACAAATGCATATAGAACGGGCAAAAATACGGACACACTTGAAACACCTACCCGTAGCCCAAAAAATCGATGCTGTTGATGCCACTGTCATGCCCAAGGATCAATGATCCCATTCTGTAGGTTGTGAGAATAAAGAAAGTTAGAAGTGTGAAATATTTACACCCTTCTTGAAAAAGATTCGTTATAGGAATAAGTACATAATTTGTAATAGGCCAAAGCAGACCCAGCCATGAGAATCATCTAGTATCGGAAACCACTTGTGAATCCTCTTTGGCCATCCGATCTCGGAAAGTATTAGAACAAATGCCCATATGACGATTACGATACGGTTCACGAATTGAAAGAAAATGTTGCTCTGTCCGAGTCCAGGGAATCCTTTTACGTTTACTATCACGCAAGTTGCGATAACCATCATCAATGAGATTATGGAAAGTATACGCAATATATTTAGAAGAATGCAGCGTAAGTCGAGAACCATTTCGAAATGCCGTGTGTTGATATTAAAGGAGTAAACAAAAAGCAAAGAAATAATCCCCAAGGAATAGTTTCCAGAGATATCATAAAATTCGCATCATGCAAATTACATACTGCGTAATATCCTTATACGTGATAAATGACCAGTAAAAAAAAAAAAAAAATTGATTAACGAAAATCACCCTTTTTTATTAATCAAAATCTAGAATAATATTCAAACTTTTTTTTCTATAGGATAAAGCCTACGGGGGGAGGTAGGGAATATAATACATTTAAGAAAGTTTTTGTAGGTTTATCAAAATGAGTGATACTCTATTCTTTTTTTTTACTTTTTTAAATCACAACTTGTTTTAAAATTGGTGTCCCTCTCATCTTGTAATTAAAACAGGTATGTAAAACGGAAACGGAAAATGATTTTCACACAGTGTAAGACGGGGGAGGTGATTTTTCCGAACTCATGGTAATCCGGCGATCCGCCTTTAGCGAAATGCCTCCGAATAATCCAAGGAACACATAGATTATTCCAATTACGAACACGAACCAGCCGGGTACTATGATGAACTCGAATAGGCTAAATAAATAAATATATATAATATTTTCGTAAGAACAAATGTATAAAATAAGCGGAAGTATGAAAGCATTCTTGAAATACTCTACTCACCTGTAGCCCAAGAAGTCGATGCTGTTTATTCCGCTATCATAGCCAAGAATTAATGATCCTATTCTGTGAGTTACGAAAAGTAGAGAATAAAGGTTATAAGCATGAAATATTTATGCCTTCCTCAAAGAAGATTCTTTACAATAAATAATACGTACATCATTTGTAATAGGCCGAAGCAAGCCCAACTATGAGTTTCATCTAACATTGGGAACCACATGAAAATTCTCCTCGGCCATCCAACTTCTGAAAGTATCAGGACCAATGCCCATATGGCGATTACAATACGATTCATGAACTGGAAGAGAGTGTTGCTCTGTCCGAGCCCGGGGAACCCTTTTACATTTACTATTATGCAAGTTGAGATGACCAGCATCAGTGAAATTATGGACAGTACACGCAATATATTTAGAAAAATACAGCGCAAATCAAAGGCCATTTTGAATTATCTTGTGCTGAAAGAAAAAAAAAAAAAAGAATGTAATAAAAAAAGTTTGAATTATTCTAGTATGAGGGTGAAGTTGACTTTTCAAAAGTGAGGAATCTCCTTTCGGAATTCAAAGGTTATTTATACAGATTCATTAACAAGGAAATATATGTTGACCAGTTGTCAATCAAGAATAATCCTTTTGAACAATGAATTGAGCGAAAGCACATCTGCGACAAATTAACGTTCTTTTGCATTTTCGTTGAAGGATAACAAGGCTCCCATTCTCATAAAATGTATCAGTTATGTATAGAAGATACAGGTGAGGTAACACAACCGTTGCTCAATATCTATTAATTACATGGCAGACAACGTCTACATTGTTATATTAAAATACTTCAATCTCAATGCTCGAATTTCGGATCAATAACGAAATTTATGTACAAAAAAATGTTCTCACAACGACACTTTGAAACAGTGCACAATACGATCAATATTGCATGCATGCGTATCATCATCATATAAGTTTTGAATGTTATAATGAATAAAATAGG